TCCTCTCCCCGTGGTCCACGGTGACTCGTCGCTGTGTTCAAATGTGGAGATGGCTGTGGCAATTAGCAGGGTTAATATCCCGGGCAGCATCACTAAATTAAATCTCCAACTCCACTGTGATGTGGCTGAATGGCGCACCTGTTCAGAGTAATTACAGATGCAGCCTGGGAGTGAACTCCTAATGAGTTGAGATAGTCAAGGTTGATTCACTTTAGAGGCACATCCCACCATTCTGCAAGAAGTGTCTTTGTTAATGGGTCTACAAGGAAATCTAAAAAAAAAAAAAAAATCCTAGGAAAGACTCTTGCAATCATCTTCAAGCATCTGCAGTCGAACGAAGTGGAATCCGTGACGGAGGTCCAGAAACTACATTGTGTAATCCTCGAGTGCTGTAGTGACTGCAGATGCAGCTGAACGGCTACGAAGCTAACAACGGGAGCAAGCTGCAAGAAAGTCCCCTCAACTTACTCAAAACATCCTGACAAGTGCTCTGCAACATTTGGACGCCTGTTTGTGTATTTCTTAAGGTCATAATGAGGCATCATTAACAACAGAACAGACAATTTTTCACTCCACTGAAATGGAAACATGTTTAAATAGTTCACCTTTTGCGACAGGTCTTGAACCAACTCTATTTGAGTTCTTCGTCTTCTACCAAAATTAATCATATTCTAATTTCATCTTATTTAAGTTCTTACAATAAAAGGACACAAAATGTCAACTGATGTCTCTCGGTGCCATTTACCATCTATATGTCTAAAAAACTGTTTTGCATATTTAGCTTTACCTTCGAACTGAAACAACTAGACTCATCAGCTGTAGTCCGTAGTTTGTACGAATGACTTTTATTTAATTTCATTCGGTATTTACATTTAAAAGGATACCACGGTGTGCACCACTGCTACTTCTGTGTGAAAGTTAATGCAGTTACAGTGTAAAGTCCTCCACTAGCTCAGATGTCTCCTGCCAAATTTCCCCCATCCCTCTGTGGCTGACTCTCTCCATAAGTATGTGCTCAGACAAACCGGCTTCCTGCACTAATTGAAGTCAATGATACAAGCTGCAGGGGAGCAGGAACAAAGTATCTCCATGGAAACGCAGGATGGAAAGTGTGTCCGCAGGAGCCTGCAGCACTGCATTGGATTTTCTGTTCACAGCAACTGAGAAAGAACAGAATATGGAGGACAAACGAGGGAAAAACAAAGGCAGGACTGAGTCGAAGACACAGAGACGGAGACTTTTGTCACTGATGACAAATGTGGAGAATAGAAGACATTTAATTCAGAAGTTTTACTTTTTTTTCAAGATTCAAGTCTCACAAGCGAAAGAAGAAGTGAACAGAAAAACCCCCGACAGCCACTAGATGGCACTGGTGCAGCTTATACACCAGAGCAACTGTGTGCAAATGTTTTTTTTCCTCTTCATTAGGATTTTTTTTGGCTGGGGCGACTTATAGTCTGGAAAATACGATATACAGAAATGGTACTACAAAACAAAAAAATTACTTCAGAATAAGAAAAAAATATTCATTCAAAAATATATTTCTCAAGCTCAGGCAAACATTTCAACAATCTCTGACACTTTACATTCAAATCTATTGATTATTGTTAGTTTCATTATTATTAGTTATTTCATAATCACTCCTTCCCACTCCAGTACAAGCCTTTTCGAAAGTAATAAAACAATCAGGAGCTGAAGGAGTCCAGACTGTTGTCAGTAAAACTCGTATAGTTTAAACATGATTAAATAGAACAGCCGCGCTGCAGAGAAATAAAACACGACCCTGGCATCTTCTCGCCTTTGGACACTTTTAGAAATATCTGATCTTTAAAAATGTTGTGGGCAGAGGTTGTTCTGATAGAGTTGCCATGGAAACAGTGGCCATCACACTGCCATTTCACTATAGATCTCAGACAGAATAAAAGCTCTGATGAAACAAATATGGATCCCCGTCCTCCTCCCCCCGCTCCCCTTGTCTCCCCTCCTCAGTCTGTTCTCGCTCATCATGATAGAAGATCATAAGGATCTGTGTGTGGATTCATGCAGAATTGAAAAACACAATCAATCTCAGAATCACATCAGCCAGGACTTCAACAACACACAGACACACGTGTATTTACAGTACATACAGCATCACCACAGATCTTTATACGTCTGTTTCATAACGCTGCGGTCTGGCGGTCTACGTCCATAAATCTTAAGCCATACGTTGTAATGACTTTTAGAGCCACAGCTAAAGAAGCTCCAAGTACAACTGCAGACATGATGGATCACAGAGAACCAGCGTCAGACACAAATGTCCTCCCTTCATCTCACGGCACTGACAAAGAAATTAAAAATCCAACCGGCTGCAGCTACATGCTGTGGGTAAAACAAGAACGATGATGTCACATCCTTATGACTCATAACTATAACTGTGCAAAAATAGTCAATTTTTCACAGGCAATTTCATGGTACTTGTGCTCATGTCAGCCATCATCTCCCCTACACTTACCTAATAAGAAAAAATAACCACTATTCTACAGCAATGAGGTCATTTACCTCTCATCAATAACTCTTCATGAGTGTCCTTCATATAAAACAATGTGCTTTCCATACCAGCAGCGAGGCTAGTTTCTGGTTAACCTGCTTTAGTACAGTCATTGATTTCCTACCTGATATTTTGCATGCAGTACGTGCAGCTTTCGACCAAGTGTCTCGTCGCAGCCGCAAGGGATGTAACAATCGAAGTGAAACAATATTTGACTGATAAACAAGACCTGTCATATGTACACAGACTTTTCAAAGAAACTGTTGGAAAAAACAACACATGCATTGCACACACATGAAAAGACCGGAGGAGGAACGCTGGGAAAAATACACACCTCTGAGAGTATGAGGGTAAACTTACAAGCTGAGGCGTGCACAGGTCAGGGCCATGCAAGAGCTGCATCCACAGCACAAATGTAACACCCTGCCAAAACACCCTGGCTGAATACTTATTTGAGTTATAACAACGCAATATTAAAATATATAAATATATCTTAGCAGAGTTCATTTCCTCAAGGTCAAGACAGTGTCCTTGAAGAAAGTAATCATGTCATCTGCGTACATGATAAGACAGGGATGTTCGATGATCACACACTTGTGAAGCATCTTTAAAGAAAACTATTTTTTATGTAGGAACTGAAAAGTAGACTGAGCCAAAATTATTTTTTGTAAAAACATGTCCATAGTAAAGAAAGAGAGAGTGTGTGTGTGTGTGTGAGAGAGACAGAGAGAGAGAAAACAGGTATCATCTCACACATATCAACTTCTCAGGTTCACACTTTGCTCGTCTCTGATTGGCTGGAGGTGTAACACATGTCTCTTAGTTAGTCGGGGGTTAAACGATGGAACGGCCTTGAAAAGAACATCACTTCATGACACACCACAGACAGGTGGGACAAACGTCCCGCAGCTTTAGGTTGACTGCGGTGTGTAGATAATAAATGTGCGTACGCGAGTGTGTGAGTCTGCGTTCTGTTTTTGTCAATAAACAATATCCAGAGCAGACAGAGAGAGAAAATGAAGCCCCCTCTCCATCTCCCACCACAGGCTGCAGTGCTCGTCTGCTATCATGTCATGTGCGTGAAATTGATGTTAAAAATGATGCTGTGTAAACACAACCTGCTGACTTCAGTACTCCTCTGTGTGTGTGTGTGTGTGTGTGTGTGAGTTGCATTGGCATTCAACAAACATGCGCACGTACATATTGGCGGTCACCCTCTGCAAACGAAGGCACACACACACACACACATATGCACACTTATACACATTTATACACATGCATAGTCACCGTGCAAATCAGATGCGTCGAGGAAGATCAGGAGGAGGATGTGACATGATTTACAATGAGAAACACAATGGTGTTAGCGATATAAACACTGGCTGTGGTACACGACACCTTTCACACGCAGCACAGAGCCTTTATCTCTGAGCCACAGGCCTTTGTTAGAACACACATGTAGCAGCAGTTTTACATTGGCTGTTGTTCAACGCTGTTCTCATTTAACGTCAAAAAAATATTACCCACATCTTGTCTGACATTTAAACCTAAAAAAATAATATATATTTTTTGCATCTGTGACAAGATTCTATTTTAGACTAGTGTTTCTCAAAAGGGTGTTCGTGACCTAAAGGTGGACTGCAGCACAATACTGTGTGGATTGTCAGTAAGCAGTAAGCGACACTAACGCCAGAGCATTTCTAACATGGAGGCACTTGCAGTATGTCGCTCTGACCACGATGGAACTTAAACCTGGTCAATTTCATTTTCTTAGCACTAAAGTAACAAAAACTGCGACTAAGTTCAACTCAGGCCTCAATATCCAGAAACTATACAGTGGTTACCAACAATGCAATCCTTCGATGACAGCAATGGTAACAAACTCTTCACAGTAAATCATCATTTTTTTATTTGTATTCGACAATCTGCTGTAATAAATCCACAGGATGTAAACTATATTTCAATAAAACATCGTCAGTGATCGTTTATTGGCTCCGTCTTTCTAGAAGACCCAGCTGTAAACCTTCACTATAAACACCATTAAACACTAATTACACACACAAAAAAAAAGAGAACGCTTCATCCACAGGCACAAAGGATGATGGGTAACAGAGAGAAGTGTTTCTATACAAGGAACGATTAAAAACAGACAAATATATATTTTTGCTAAACGTGTGTAAACAGTAAACATATTGGTTTTGCTGCTCTTCATCTGATGCAGTGTGTGTAAACAGTAAACATATTGGTTTTTGTCAGAATTGTTTAAATTACAGATTTAAAATGATGTCGGAAGACATTTGTCAGAATCATAAAAAGTTGACTTAAAATATTCCACACGTGCCTTTAGGTACGAGAATAAATTTGTGTTTTCTGAATGCTAGCTGCATTATTTTGTCTGTTTTGCTGCAAACCTTTTCCAGATAATTACTCAATAAAACGCCTGATGCCATCAGGAACTCTAGACTTTAGCTTAAGAGAAGAACGTAAACTTTTAGCTATGATATGTGTAGTGTTCACATTCACCAACGTCTGATGCCATCAGGAACTCTAGACTTTATTTACTTCACTGGTATTTGTTTTTAGAAATAAGTTTTTTTTTTAAACTTAACAGTAAATAACTTTAATTTTTTTACCATGTTCCAGAAAATTAGGATTTAATTGGTTCAACTGTTGTCAGGTTTTAGGAGTGAGAGTCAACATTTGACCAAAGTGCTGACCACTGCAGGGAGCAGACAGTGTTGCCTGCTGGGAATGGTAGGATTATCGATCCACTCAAAATCAAAATGATCCTAATTATAGGCAGATTATCGCAAATCATAAAAATGTGATCAAGAAATGTGATAGAAATGAGAAAGATTTTATGCTAAACATAACTTTAAAATAATATTCTGTAAAGTGCAGTTTTACTGTTTTAAAGTAGTGGGTAGATGTTAGATGTACAAACCAAGTATTGTCTAATTGGTACTTTTTCACATTGTTAAAATATTGTATAGTTTTAATATAATGCTACAGTGTCTCCTGAGGAAATCCTTCTTTTGAACCTAAAATTAATGTTTGTCGATGAGCTGCACCTGTGTTCTGATCGGCTCGTCCTGTCACTGTGAAAGGAGACTCACTCACTCACTCAGTCCCATCGTAAACCACAGCTTCAGCCAAGCTCAGATGATACTGCACTTTCTTTGAGATGAACCTGGGTGAAAGAAAAGACGGTACATTTTATATTTTCACCACCTGATCGACTGTTGGTTTGAGGGCCGCGCTGCTGACCTGGAGAAGGAGTTGTCAAATATGAGTGTGTACTCTCCAGCATTCCTGACTTTCAGTTCCCCTTGGATCGTCTCTTTGTGGGAATCACAGCGTGTCAGTGGGATCAAAACCTGCCAACAGTGAGAATTCACCGACTCAACAACTGCCTGCCATGTAAAAATCATTCAACTTTGCCTCTAATTTAATTTAATGTAATAACCACAACACTATGGACAGAAAAATATTACTTCAAATGAAAACAATGTTTCACTTCAAATTCAAAATTCAAATGTATTCCCTTTACCATCACGTTTCACTTCAAATTCAAATGTATTCCCTTTACCATCACGGTAGAGGTAGCTGGGGTAAATAATGGAAAGGTTTAAAAAAAAAAAATCACCATCAGTTCTGTAGGGACAGAGAAATGAGGATTAATGAATCTTCTTATAAACATGCCAACATCTCACCTTGGCCTGTTCCAGTGGTGTCTCTGAGTTTTCCCTGTAGACCACACTGAAGGCAATGCTCTTTGGTTCAGAGGTGAAAGTCCAGGAAACAGTGGGACCAGGGCTGATCATGGTGAGGCAGAGGGTGCTGTAACAGCTGGACTTTATGAAAAGTTCTTGGGAGCTGTCCCCAAACTCACAGATGTCACTGATCGTAAAGGGGACGGAGAGACTGCAGCCGCGCGGGGCACGGAGCAACGTTAGGTTCATGGTTTTTTTTCAATCAATTCTACCAATCGATCGCTGTGTTAACTCTTTGAATTGCGTGTCAAACTCACGTCAGTTCTCCAGACTTTAGTAAGCAAACCTCCGCATCCTGTACAGCCGCGCCAAAGTCCTCGGGGTCCTCTGAGGTAACGTCCCCCATACTGGCACTGCTGTTTCTGTTAGAAATGTATTTGATTGTTACTTAACACACACAGCAAGACAACAAGGCATCTTCTGTCTCTATTATTTTGATTAAGGAGCAAATCCTTTCATCAGCTTTAAGAGTCAGGTGGGAATTGTACTTTTTTTCTCACATATTATTATTATAAAATCTTCCACTTAAAAAGTTCCATTTGTCATGGGATAACTGAAAATATAGTGAAAACAAAAATATAGATATTGTGGGTGTATAATTAAACATCTTACTACAAAAATAGAAAAAAGAGATCACAGCTAAAATAAAACTAAATAGAAGAGAACAGAAACGCTTCGAAATATTTAGTTAATCCTAAATCCTAAAATGAGGAAATGTACTAGAACTGCATGAAAGATACTTACAGTTGTGCCGCCCCCTGCTGTCCTTGCTCGGCAGAGCAGGCGGTGACAAAAGACAGAGAGTCGCTGACGACGCTGACTTCCTCGTCTGTGATGATGTCAAAAACGCCATCATCCGGTTTCTCAACCTCGTCTGTTCCTATAAAAGAAACAATGTCTTCATTTTTATCAATGATTTTTAAGCAATCCTGCTTTGACAGTTTAAACAGGTGTAAAACAAAGAAATTATATATATATTTCTGACATATTACTGTCTTCCTACCTTGGACACTAGTCATGGCTCTTCCTGCCTGTAACAAGCGGCTGAAAGGTGTCCCCGGTGTGCTGTGAGTCACTTCCTCCTCTGGGTGGCGCTCCACTACTGCACTGTGCTGGCCGTAACAGTCCCTGCAGCAGCGCTCTCTGTTGCCGCCCTGTCGGGTGCTCACTGTGTTGCTGCAGCAGTAGTAGCAGAAGGGACGCCCACACAGTCTAAGAAAACAACAAAACACCATGTGACAGAGAGAGATGGCTCATAATTTTTGAACGGTGGACAAAGTGGTGAGTGAGTGAGTGAGTGAGTAAGGCAGTCATATTTAAATGAAAATAAAAACATCCAAAAGAAAAAAGGATTTTTACTTCAAAACTTTAAATCTATGAAATTTCCAATAATAACAAATTCAATAATAAATTAAATAGAGGGCAATTAAAACTCACAACCTGAAATAGTATAAAACAAAAAAAGACAATATTCTTTGTAATAATTATTCCATAAACTTAAACATTTACTTTTGTTAGATAAAATAACTGTTCATATATATACATGTATAGATATATATATAAATATAAACATATATGTACAAATCTGTTTACAGAGGGTGTTCGTTTACAAGATCTTAACCATGCCATTACATGGCATCAACGCCCAGTTCAGAACCACATTTCACGTCTGACTGACGCAGTAGAGTACACTTCTCATTTGAGCGGCAGAAGTGAAATAAAGAAATTATAAAACGCACCCTGTTCCTAGTTTCTGTTTTGACTGAAACTTCAGAGCGAGTACAATTTCTGCTAGCCGAAGAAGCGACAGGACAGTCTTTACATTAAAATATACATTTTCTACACACAGTACATCAAATCTGACCTGCAGTTGTACTTGCGCAGCCACCAGCTGAACTGACTGCGGCAGCCCAGACAGTAGTTCACGTCCCTCTCTGTCTCCTCCTCGCGGAGTTTCTGCTCAAATTCCAAGGCATCTGTCTTCTGCCAAAGTGCGTCCTTCTCCCTGCAGACAGCATTGACAGACATGTCTGTAAATACCTGAAAATCTAATGACCATCTTCCCTCCAGCAGGTGATAGAGAACCTGGTGTTTCTGATGCTGCATCATTGAAATGTAAAGACTGACGCTAGCCTCGTTTTTGATTGTTCTTACTAACTATATTATTATATTAAGTATTATTTATAGATGTGTGCATGCAGCTGTGTGATGTGCTAATTTTTTAATTTTTCATTTATTGTATTTATTTTCGATACCTGATAAGTTCCACCAGCCTTTCCTCCAAATTAATTTTGGTGCGGTAGAGATCGTCCAGTTCGGCTGCAGTCTTCAGGTCAAAGCTCTGTTTTTCCAGCGTGACTCTTCGTACATTTTCACTCATCTCCCGGCAGGTCTGCTGCGCCGCCTTCAGAGCCTCCTCAGATCTGTAGGACACAAGAAAAACAAAACAAACAATGCCGCCTGGAATGCGCAAAACTGGGTACGTGTGTTTCTTTTCACGGAGCTTAAATTTGCTCCACGACGTGTGATTATGAATACAGTATATCTCACCTTGATAAGTTCTCTTTCAGATGGATCATCTCGCCTTCTTTCTGCTGGATGAGATTTTCATACTCCGCCATCTGGCTGTTTTTCTCCTCAATCTGTTGGCAGTATCTCTGGTATTCGGCCTGTAATCGCCGCAGCAAAGCCAAACATTATTTCTGGTTCTTTGTGAATTAAGCCTGTGAATATATCATTGTGATTACTGTAGCAAAAACACACAGTGCTTCTACTACTGTGTGGAGCAGTTAAGTTTTCATTGATCAATCAGAGAAGTGCAAATACACACTAAAATAAAGGCACAGGTGATTTAGTGTTTCCAGAGGTCAAATGAAGGGCTCACTGACACTACAGTCAAGGCCAGGAAGTAGAACACTCTAAAAAGAACACGATTCTGTATGTGTGCGGTTTCAGAAATTATTTTATTGGTAGTCGTTGTGTTACTTTACTGTTTTTGGCTAATAAATAATCAAATAATATTTTTTCTAACACCTTCTCTTGTTAGTGCTGTGTTTTTTTAATGGTGGCTAAACATGTGGTACTTGGAGAGGTTGTACGTGATATAAAAGGTTTGAGAAGATTAAACAGTTTTTAAACTGATATTTGAGGAACGTTAAGTTCACCTTCAGCTCTCTGAGTTTGTTCTCCAGATCGACGACCTTCTCCTGCTCAGTCATCAGCTGTGATCTGACTTCCTGTAACTCCTGGTTCAGAGCCTGGACAGACATAAAGGACTCATTATAACACAGATAAGTAAAAATGGTAAAAATAGAGACACCTCACTAAATTTTCATTAACGCATAGAAATAAAAAGCTAATGAGAAACCACATTTCCTGTATGTAAAAAAAAACAGGTTTCTCCTTGAGAATTCCTCGTTGTTAGCTTTATGGCATTTAAGGACATAAAACCTACAATGCTGTTAACAAAGTTCATTAACAGTGAAGTACAGTTAGGCTGACTTGTTTATGGCTAACCTGAAGCTGGCTGCTGTGGGCAATATCTTTGCTTTGGCACTGAAGGTGAAGTGTCTGGATCTCCTCCTGGTTTGTCCTCTGCTCCATTTCCGCCTCCTGCTGGGCTTCTTTCAGCTTCTGCAGCTCCTGCTTGACTGCCAACAGCCCCTCCTCGTTGTGGAGCTGATGGAGGAGATCCTGGTTCTCCTTCTTCAACTCCTCAATGCAGTCATTCAGCCTGTCGGCTTCCTGGGAGGCCTTCTCCTCCAGCTCATGCATACTTGTTGACAGATCCTCCCAGCGCACATTGGCCTCCTCGTTCTCAGCCGTCAGCGTGCAAACATGAACACCCAGTTCAGCTGTTTCTGTGTTGGCTCTGTGCAGCGCCTCCTTGGTTTCACTGTTCTCCAGACACAAAGCTTCATATTGCAGCTTCAGCCTATCCAGCTGCTCTCTGGACGCTGTGACCTCTGAGGCCAGACCAGCCCGAGCTTGGGCCTCACCATCGCGCTCACGAATGAGGGCCTCCTCTCGCTCTCTGGAACGCAGAATCTCATCCACGTGCTGGCGGTTGAGATCTTCAACTTGGGCCTTGAGTTGCTCAACTAGGAGACGGAGGTCCTCTTTTGAGGCCTCTGTCACCTCCTGCAGGGCATGAAGTTTCACTCTCTCTTCAGTTACTGTAAGAAGCTGAGCTCTTAGCTCCACCACCTCCTGCTGGAGCTGCTGCATCATCCCTCGGCTGAATTCCATTTGAGCTTCAGCTATCATCAGTGTGTACGGGTTCTCTTTGTTTTCCTCTGAGGAACACTGTTGCTCAACAGGAAGTCTTTGCAACTTTTCATTAATCTCTGCAGCTGTCTTTTCATGCAGGAGTTCACACTTCAGAGTCTGGTCTGTAAGTTTGACGTTAGTTTCCTGGAGATTCTGATGTAACTCTGCTCGGCCGCTTTTGGAGACCATAAGGTCCTGTTCCAAAACTGTAGCTTTGGCGGAAAGAGAGTTTAATTCCTGTTGAGCTCTTGATAACTCCATGTGTAGCAACGGCAGAACTTCCAGCAGGTCTTTTCTCTCATTCTCCATCTTCTTCAACTGAACATCTGATTTCTCCTTCTCAAAAAAAGCCTTCTGGACAGTCTCCTCCAAATGGAGGTTTTTATCCAGAAGTCTTTCCTCTCGAGCTTCTAGGCACATGTTTGCAGCCTCTACTTTACTTCTGAGGTGATTCTCTGAAGCTCTCAAAGAAGCTAGCTGATCTAATAAAGCTGCCGTGCTACTGGGTAATGCACTCATTCCATCCTCACGATTCTGGATAGTTTGAAGCAGCTTGGAGTTTATTTCCATAAGATTGTTACATTGTGTCCGTAAGTCGTCATCATTCCTGGTTTGATCTGAAGAATCAACACCAATATTAGTGAGTTTGGAGCTCAGACTTTCATTCTCTTTATTTAACTTTGCCACCTGTTCCTCTAAGTGATTTATTCTCTCTGAGCCCACAGCTAACTCTTTCTCTCTGTTTTTCAACTTTTTTCTCAAATCAAGGATAAGGCTCTCAAGTCTGTCATCCTGGCCGCTACTGAAGCTGGATCTCTGTTCCTCCTCCTCTCTCTCCTCCTGCAGCCTTTTCTTCAGCTCCTCTGCCCGTCGTTCTCTGCAATCCAGTGATGCTTGTAGGTCGAGAAGCTGGGTTCTCAGGTTCCCCGTTTCTTTCTCTTTTGACGTCAACGCTCCTTGAATTCGACTGACGACCCCTTGGAGCTCCTCCAACCGTCCCATCGCCTCTTCCTGTTCATCGTGGGCTCTAGCTTGCACTTCCGCCAGCTTCTCCTTGCTGTTTTTCAACTCTTCATCCCTAAGTTTGAGATCCTTTGATAAACACTCAGATTCTCTGGTTCTGTCTTCAGCTGCTGCCCTTGCTTCCAACATCTTCTCCTCTGACGTCTTCAGTTTATCTAGCAGTTCCTGGATCTTCAAAGCTGCGTCACAGCAGGTTGCCATTTGTTGGTCTTTCTCCAACTCAGAGAAAAACTCTGTATTTTTGTTATCAGCAGCTATTACTCTGTCTTGAAGTTGTGATTTCTGAGCTGCTAGCTGTTCCTTAAGGTCTTTAACTATAAACTTTAGATCAGCGGCTTCTTTACTTAAATCCTGAATCTGTACCAGGAGCTCCTGCTGTCTTAGCTCCGATTGGTCAAGCTCAATACGGAGACTCTCTGAAATGCCGCAAGGAGAAGGTTCCACTATTTCTCCGAGATCATTAAGAACGCTCTGGCTCAAGTCTGAAACTGGCAGAAACTCCTGCACCTGGAAGGAACAGGAGATCAGATTATTAAAATTTCAGAAAAAATAACTAATTCACTTGAAATGTCTAATATGCCAAAATCTTGAAGTCCTAAAGTCAGTTATGACCATGGATCCTGAGCTCTTTAGCCTTGTTTTGTGTTCTCCCTTGTAAGATCACATTTGATGTTTGAATGGACCAAATTAACCTGGTAGTGTTTGATTAAAAAAATGTAAATGTTAAATTGACTAGTGTTTTATATGATTAGGACTGTGAAATAATAATAAAAAAGTTTAAATCAATTTTACACATCAAATGCATTTTTTTCACCTATCTGCCAACAACCCTGTTTGGTGGATAAAAAAGACACCAAATTGCTCCTTTGTTGTTTAGGTTGCGGACTCCTTCTGCAGACCATCATCTCTCACTTCACACATGCCAGGTGAAAATACCGTCTGTTCTGCTTTAGTATAAATAAGTGTTTTTGAAGGTGAAGGTGAATTCACTGATTTCTTTGTGTCTGCTGCAAAAAAGTGTTAATTTGTGGGGTTAAAATAATTATTGTAACGTTTGCTGAGACGGCAGAAAACATTATGCACACTAGAACTTATCATGTGGACACATGAGACCAAACTAGAACTGCAAGGACATGGAGAAATTGATCAAACCTCTTTCTGAGCCAATCTGCTAAAAAGACAGCAATTAATTTCCCTTTTCAGATACTTAGGGAGTTGAGTGAAGGAATCCATTGATATTAAGTGTTAACACAAAGAATCACATTAGTGGTAGGTTCTGAAAATGTCATCAGCTGTTAATTGGTAATGACAAGTCTTCACCTGAGTTAATACCTTCACGTGTTAACTAAAATCTAATGAGTTAATGAAGTTCTCAGTGAATAAAAAAGCAGCTCCAGCTCCTGCTTATGCTGCAAATTACTTTTTATTCTATTTGTATCTTAAGAAAAAAAAAACTTTTAACCATATAGTAAGATTGAAGGAAATGTTTTAGGGTTTTTTTTGCAAAAGACAACATCAACTTATACAACTTGTATTTGCAATTTCATGCAGGCAAGAAGAAGTACCTGTGAATGTGGATAGCTGCCGACCAAACTGTTGATGCTGGAGCAGCGACTCGGAGACTTCCACGAGGGGGCGTAGCCAAGAGTCCTCCTTTAGCATAATGGAAAAAAAAACATTTTAATAGATTTTTATACTTATACTAGAAGCATGTAATATATGCAGTAAAAAAAGAACCTATAATATTGTGTGACAAAATCATTCTAGCAACAAACTAACACACATAGATGATCTAATGTTATGTCCTTTTTACTTTCTGCAAGGTTTGTATGTATAAACATACACCAAGATATTGCACAAGCTATAATCACACAGCATATCCACCATATCTTGCTGCAGACAAACCCAGTCTGTGTAAGACATTGGTATTTAATTCAGAATAATGATGAAATGACTCCTAATACAATGTCATGAATTATGCTAACAGGAATTGTGACAATTCCCAGTAGAGTAGGTGCAAATTGATGAGAAGGAGGAGGTGAAAAGTTTTGGCAAAGGTGTTGAGTGGAGGAACAGTGTTCAATGTTCGCACACTGTCGGCACTGCATCCTCTTATGCACACATTTACACACACATTTGAGCCAAAAAAAGAGCTGTGAATGTGTTGAGTGATCAGCTAATTAAGTGTGTCTTCACATTTCGAGATACCTAATATTGCTGCATAATTCTCTATTAGTTGAAGTTACATGGTGTGTTATTTCAAATAACTTCAGGTCTCTTTCAAGTTCATTTGCTAATTACCCTGCCCCCAGGAGAACCTTATTCTAAATCATGAAGAGTTTGTTACCTCGCAAACGCTGGCCATTCTGCATCAAGGTCGTAACCTCTGGCTGCCACGTCAAATTGGATCTGGTTGAGCTCATAAAGATGACTGATTATGTCAGCGGTGAGATGACACTTCAGGAATGGACTGCGAGCGTAATACCAGTCACTGAACAGGAGGGAAACCAACAAAGACAATTTAAACTGAGTGGTAATGACTAATACAGAGGAAAGTGTTAGTGTACAGGGTATCAGCTGAACACATGCATGTGTTAGGGTTGATAAAATAAGTGAGTCTGAATAGTGGACAGAAAATAACTCAGTGAGGTACCACACAACAAAACTGCATTGTTATTTTGACATCAGCTGGGATGGTGTGATGGGGTATAATGTATGAACTGTGTATTCTTCAAAGTACAATACAAGCATATGCAAGGCTGGGTAAACGTTATAGTGAGGTGTATACTTTCACTTTACAGCTCTGTCTTTTTTGCAGACCTTTTCTATCACAGTACTATTTAAAGTAGGTCTTTCAAATTTACACGTACAGAAGTTTGGATTTTCACCGACTTCTAGCCTAAAACACCATTGTTTGCCAGAGCTTCAATCTCAGGTGAGATGCTCAGCTGACGTCAGAGAGCAGGGCAGTAAATCAGTCCAGAGTAGATCCGTTAGTGTTGTTGAGGATTTTGGCTTCACTGAAGTTTTGAAAAAAAAAAAAAAAAAAAAAATGCAAAACATGTTCTACAAGGCAGAGTAAATCATGAATAAAAGTGATTAATCCATAACTAATCTGTGATTTTAATCAGGTTAAAATTTTATATTGTTTCACTGGCCAATAAAGTGAATTTCTATGCAGATTCTCAGGAATGTATAAATGTATAAGAGTGTATAACCTGTTACCATTAAACAGCACATACTGTATATTGAAATGATTTATATAATAGGTGAACTGTCCTACGTGACAGGAAGTACAGTAAATGTCACTTTTGCTGAATGTGTGCAAGCTTTTTCTTGTGAAACAAGAAGTAAGACATGCAAATGTGGAAGAGAGTTTCACACTTCCTCAGAAAGGCTCTGTCTGGCCAATCTACAATCAGCTAAATTCAACATAAACATAAGAAAAATACATAGTCATTTGTGTGTACATCGTACGCCTCTGACCTTGTGGTTTTGCGATTCATGAGACACTGCTGAAGCGTGTCGGCGAGACGTTGGTGGATGAGTGAGTAGCGAATAAAGGCCCGTCCTTTTCCCAGCGATGTCTTTAACTGTGGATGTATAAAAATGAAAATTTGTGCAGCTTTGATTGTTTTCTAAATAAAATATTATAATTATATTTAAAGATGTCTAACATTGGAATAACATTCAAATAAATGATCAAAACAGAAAGAAAATCTACAGTTAGTTTTGGTGTTTAAAGGACAATAAATGCTTTATCAGCACTGACACTTCAGAGCCTCTGCCTAGGACCAGGATTACTGACAGCGCAGCTTTGTCACATTTGTGTGTCCTGTAGCGTGGCAGGAGACAAAAAGAGTGAGACGGTGTGAATGTGTTGCACTGGGAGATTACCTCAGGGATAGACTTAACAAAACGAATGCCATCATTAGCTCCTTTGTTCTTGTTCAGGCAGTCACAGAAATAATCCCAGTAGTCTTTCCTCTGGCCCAGCAACGTTGTCTTCTCTTTCTGGTCAAACTACAATTTACAAAGTGTCTTTTTTATTTAAAATTCAATTAGTGGTAATAGATTATACTACATGTCTGTCTAACACGTGCTGAAGTAAACAAAAAAAAAAAAAAAAAAGGAAAAGGGAACATTTCTAACATTAAGCAAATAATTGTAGTGGTCAATTATACTTCATATTTACTGATTTCACCCTATTAATATTTTTTTTGTCTTTATTTAGTTAGGAAGAAAAAAAATTAAACATATTTTGATGGTGAGGTTTTTGTATCCTGAAGACTTTATTGTCTACTATAGAGTTTTATAACCTCAGTAAAACCCTTACCTGCAGCAGGTATTCCAGCTTATAAAAAAATTTGTGCAGGTTGGTGCTGTCATCAGTGATGGGTTCTCCAAACTCTCTGTATTCTTTACTCAGCTCCAACACAGCATCTGGACCAAAACATGACATGATACTGCTTGAAATTGCATTAATCTCATCTGAAGATTAAACCAAATGCAGCTACTGCCCTTAAAGAAAGCAAGTCAACAAAACATGAAAACACAGCAGCTCTTATTTCTGATGTGTTTGTGGACACTTTATTTACCCTGCAGGTCTCTGATGACCCTCTGCAGCTGATTGTCTCCAACAGATGAGCAGGAGGCCATTGTGGGGAAATACAAGGAAATTCTGCTAAAAACAATATAAACAAAGAGTGAATACATGACATTCTTATATATTAATTAAAGATAAGGATCTGCTTCATCACATTACTGTAAGGAAGACGTGACGTGTCAGAGAACCACGTCATAAACTGAATATCCTAAATGTCTTAGGTTTCCCTATTTCATAAGAACACACATGAAGTACTCTCAGTCTCAGTGACAGCTGGAAACAACGACTCACCGACACGGCTCTCCTAACTCTGTCATAAAGCTGTAGTCATAAAGTAGAACCGTTGACTTTACGTCACTGCAGAATCCATGGTGTTAACCAACACACTGTGATGTAAACGTTGTATTTGTCAACCTGAGAGACGATCTGTCCATGTCATGCACCTGCTCTCGTCTCATTTCCGGGTTTTATTATTACTTCACAACATTTTCTGTCATAACCTAGTTCACGGTTTGGTTTTAAAAATTGAAAAGAGTCTAAAAGATGTTGTAAAATTCACAAGACAGACATACTTTTTCTGTAAATTTGTCCAGAGTCTCCTGTTTGTTGATGTAACCGCAAAACATGCTAGTGTTTGAGGGCGGTCACTGTGGTGATTGACACGTCGGCTGAGGAATCAGGCGCCAGCATTAGTTAATCTTCCTGCAGGTTTGGTTGAGAGATCGGAAAAAAAAACTAATAACTAAATAAAACTTATAACTAAATAACTTAAGACACATTTATAAGAAATTGTAAATATAATTATTATAATAATACATTTTTATTATTTATTAGAGATGATTGATGGCATGATAAAAAGTAAGCCTTACTGAAATTATCAATTAAATTAAATTAATTAAATTAAATCATAAATAATAGATCAATAAAGTTGGCAATAATAATGCCAATACTACTACGATTACTGCTACTACTAATAATAATAATAGTGATAATAACAATAACGATAATAATAATAATAATAATAATAATAATAATAATAATAAATATTCTTATTGTAATAAGAGCAAAATGCATTTTTGTATTGTGCAGTAACTGCATACAACAATAATGTGGATTAATATACTGTATGTAAAATATTTTGTGTGCCATCACACAATATATGTAAAATATTTTGTGTGCCATCACACAACATTTACTTTATTTTCAGTTGTAAGGATTTAATTTAATCCAAAAGGTGATGTTCTTAATAAACAGAAAACAAAATGTATAATGTGTCCTCCTTTGACTGAAACGATGTTTAGAGGATCTGAAAACAATGGTTTTGTTCAGCTCACCTCACTGGCTGATTCCCAAGGAACAAAACCACTTCACTGAGTTTTTGCCAATACCTTTTTTGAGGACTGTTAGGTGTTTGCACAACTATTGTGGAGGTAAGAGTCAATTTAACTGGTCATTTTACAAAGAGGATTATTAACTGAACCTGTCAAAGTGTGCTCAAAATAGTTATTCTATAAAGTGTTGTTTATATTTTTGGGGGTAATTTCAAATTTCTTGTTCTTCTTGGGGTAAAGATGGCTACAACTACAACTGAAGATTATATGGTCACAGATGCAACTGAAGACATGTACTATTCCAGTGACTATGAAGATGAAATGTGTGATACATCGAGCATGGTAGAGTTTGGAAGGACCTTCACTCCAGTTTTCTACTCCATTGTGATATTCCTCAGCTTGCTTGGCAACATCCTGATCATCGTGATTCTGGCCAAGTTTGAGGATCTCAAATCTCTGACCAGTGCTTGCATACTGAACCTTGCGATATCCGATCTCATCTTCACCATAGGTCTGCCCTTTTGGTCCTACTACTACATATATGGCTGGACCTTGGGGGAGCCTGCCTGCAAAATTGTCAGCTTTGTCTTCTCTGTTGGTTTCTACAGCAGTGGTATCCTCCTGATTCTGATGACCGCTCATCGCTACATAGCAGTCATGAATCCTCTGTCTGACATTGTGGCACTCACAGGGTGCTACAGTGTCCTAGCATCTGTGGTCATTTGGGCAGTTAGTATCCTATTAGCCAGTCCGGCTCTACTGTTCACACAAGTTCAAGAGCAGACTCACTGTGTGTTCGCAGATTCTTTTTGGAGCTTATGGGGAATCTATCAGCAAAATTGTCTCTTCGTAGTCTCTCTGTGTGTTTTCATTTTTTGCTATTCTCACGTCATTAAAAGGCTACTAAACCCCATTGGCCAAAGAAGAAAACACAAAACTTTAAAACTTATTTTTACCCTCATGGTGGTTTTCTTTGTTGGATGGACACCATACAATGTCGTCATATTTCTTCAGTCCACGCATTTCTGGCCCAAAGAAGAAGTAGATTCAAAGGCCTTGGTTGCCATTTGTGAACAATACAAACCCCTGGAATATGCTTTCTACATTAGTCGAGTCATTGCCTTTTCACACTGCTGCATTAACCCTGTGTTTTATGTCTTTGTTGGAATTAAATTTAAAAATAACATCAAGAAGATGCTGCAGCGCTGGAGCCACAACAAAAGCAGCATCAAAAGCCGACACAGTCGAGTCACCATCACATCAATCACAAGTGGTGAGGAGTTTTCTTTGTAAGTAATGGCATAACAAAAAATTGATCATAACTAATCACATGTGAGTATGGCTAAATATTGATGAACAGCAGTGCAAATGTGTCGTCTATTACGTGTATTGAAATATCTGTGTTAAAAAGTATATATATATGTGTGTGTGTGTATTAATCTCTTCTTTTCTGATTTAAACAAAATCCTTATGTATTAAACTGATTGAAAAAACTGTTCAGCTGTAAAAACATATTTGAAATATTGTAATGTATAAGAAGCAATATACCTAATATAATTAATTTGTTTTACATTCATTAAACCTACCCTAACGTGTCCTTTTTATGTTTTTATCTTATTTGTCTAAACACAATCTTCATTTTACGTCACCTACGTCTACATTAACATTAGTTAACTCTATAGGCATATACTGTATGTAGTTTTAAATGTGTGTCATAGGTTAAATGTGTTTTTTTGGTCAGAAGAATGAGGGGAAAAAATGCCAGCCTTCAACATAGAACAATACATGAATGCAATAACAAGACTACCCGAGTATGTACAAATGAGTGTCTATTATTATGTTAAGTTAAAGTAAAATCTCTGTAGACTAACGGTCAAAAAGTCATGTTTTCATTCATTCAATTTTCATATACATATTCTTAAATGTTTTAATTGTGGTCTGTTGGACACTGCTCGTCCTATCGAGATCTGTCTCTGTGTGACTCTGGTCCCTCGTAATGGAGCAAAAAAATTGGTGAAGCTTTTAGTCTTTATTAAAGAATCAGCAAAATTGCCCAGCTAGCTGCCGTGTTCATCATAACAACAGGAAAGATACTTCTATGTTGCCACACTACAATTATCACACACACACCCAGTAATTTTCCACAATTTTCCACGTAATTTTCACACAAACGTTGAGAAGTAGCTTCCCTCTTAAGATACATTAAGCTCACTACTACTTAATGATAAGGCGCTAAGGTTTTTACTGTCATCTACGTAATACCACTCATTTTAAACATTATAGTAACTTCCCCGAACTTGTGATTGACTTTGCTGGAACAATGACACAGTCTCAGTAACAAAAAGTGAAAGAAGAGAAAAAAGGAAGTCACAACTGTGTTTTACTTGAAGTATATTTTCTTCACCACTCAGCAGTGGAACTGGTCAAGTTTAAGGTAAGATTCTTCCTTCTGCGGTTCTACTTTATGATCCTTCCTACATACTAAGATTTTTAAAGGTTAAGTCATACAGGTTAAAATAGCGTGTAACAGGTCAAGTTTTCACATGATTTCTGTTTCATTTTTATCAGACATTATCCACAATGAACATCTCAACATTCAACGACACAGTGCCGGAGTTGGACCTTGATGATATTGTATACGTATCAAATCAAAATGACACGTTACTCAGTCAAACTATTACCGGTGCCTTTTTCATTGTGATCTTCATAATCAGCGTCATAGGCAACAGTCTTCTTCTCCGTGTTCTTGTTTCATACGAGGACCTGAGAAATAGCACAAATGTGATTGTTCTGAACCTGGCCTGCTCTGATCTGTTGTTCAGCATGATTCTCCCATTCTGGGCCACCTATTATTTACACGACTGGGTGTTTGGAGACTTCTGGTGCAAATGTTTAACAGCTGCATACTTTACTAGCATGTACAGCAGTGTCATTCTACTGACTGTTTTGACTGTGGATCGTTTCTTCACCGTGGTGCTTCAATTCTGGATGGAAAACAGTGTGAAAAAATGCAGATGCTCAGTCGGTGTGTGTGTGGCTGCGTGGGTCA